ACCCCCTTATTTACCAGGCCAATTTTCAGCTTTCAGCGCTGCCGCACTTTGATTGACAATTGCGCGGTCATGCAACATTGTACCCATATGAAATTGATCATTTTTTTCTCACAAATAGAGCTTTCTTTTGGTGGTATTTAATCGCCACTGGGCGCTTTACTTTTTGCGCTATAAATTAAAAAAGTGCAAAAAATTTGAAAAAAAAAAAAGTTTGTTTCTAATATAAAATTTTTCAAACAGGTAATTTTTCTCCTTCACTGATGTGCGTTGATGAGGCAGCACTGATGGGTACTGATAGGCGGCACCGATAGGCGGCACTGACTGGCACAACCGGTGGGCACTGACTGGCACAGGTGGGTGGGCACAGGTGGGTGCACTGCTGGGCACAGGTGGGCGGAGCTAGTGGGCGCACTGCTGGGCAGAACTTGTGGGTGGCACTGCTGGGCACCGATCGATCATCCGTGCTTTGATGATCAGTGCCGATCCTCGCTTTGACAACTGCCGGTTCTCGGCAGTACTTTCCTCACGATCTGACAGCGTGAGGAAAGTGCAGCCGAGAACCGGCACTTGCATTTCCCTGTGATCAGCGTGTCATTGGACACCGCTGATCACGTGGTAAAAGGCCGGTATGATTGGCCTTTTACCACATCTCGTGATCAGCTGTGTCCGTAGGACACAGCTATCACGGAGATCGCCGGGGTGCGCGCCCCAGCGCATTCTGGGGGGACATCATATGACGTCCACCCAGAACTGGCGTCACAGGGACCAGCACACAGAAGCCGGATGCCGGCAACTTCCGGAGGAGATGGCCGGGGACACATCGCAGGAGCGAAGGACAAGGTAAGTTCTGCAGGGACTCCCTCTGCAGTGCCGCATGGTAAGCCCGAGTGTAGCGGGGGGGTTACTGCTTTTGGTACTGAAACTTTACCCCGAGCTACACTCGGGAATACCGCCAGGGAGGTTAAGGAATGTGATTTACAGTAGACAATGCAGGATATAATCACATTTGATTTACACTACAAGGTTGAAGTCTGTGGACATTTTCTGATAGTGTCAAATTCAAGAGTGCAAAAAAAAAAAAAAGCCATCTACGATACTTAAGTATTGTACTCCCAAATGCGAATTCACGCTCTTGTACTCCCAAATGCAGAATTCACGCTCTTGTACTCCCAAATGCAGAATTCACGCTCTTGTACTCCCAAATGCAGAATTCACGCTCTTGTACTCCCAAATGCAGAATTCACGCTCTTGTACTCCCAAATGCAGAATTCACGCTCTTGTACTCCCAAATGCAGAATTCACGCTCTAACTGCACGTCCACACCGATAACGCATGACCAGCAATTTGCTGTGTACAGCAAATGGAAAGGAGTCACTCCTACTTGCTGTACACCGCGCAAAAAAAAAAAAGTCGCTGGTCATGCAGTAACGCAATTAGCGCAGGATGAGAAAAGCAAACAGACACAAATAGTACATAATTGCAAAGATAGCGAGGGGAGTGGGAGTGCCAAACTGAAGCAAGACAGCAAAGTACTGCATAAGATGTAAAGTAATTCTAAATGTAGAGGAAACGGCCAGTTCTGCTGACAAGACAGGCAGAACCCTGCAAAGAGCCAAGAGGGAATACAGCACGACGCACATAATGTTCAATGTGGGTGTAAACACAAAATTGGGAGCCAAGAAGCCCAAAGTGGTAGTAAATGGCTTCTTAATATAAGACCTACCTGTAGGTTCAGGGTCTCCTAAACTTGCGTCATTTAGGAGATACTCACAGCCAGTGACAACAGTGTGCTCTGAATTGACAGCATGCCAAGTGCGCTTTCCATTCAGTGTGCGGTGAGCGACTCCCACGCACATGCATGTGAGTGATGTAATCACAGACCGGCCATTTGAACAACCGGAGCGCAAACCTGGAAGGAAGACCATATGAAAATGGAAGCTACAACAGCATGCCACTGGAGGGCTCTTTATTTAAAGGAAAGTCTGTGATAATGTGTTAGTATGAAGTGTATACTAACATTGTGGATTAACCTCCCTAGCTGTCTGATTATGTCCATATTTCTGTGCTCAAAGTGGTACTTTTGCATGGAAATTTATTTTTTTTTTATTTTAGGCCTGTAATTTTTAGGAATAACTCACTGAAATCTGTCAGAACAAGAGTCTAGTAAACATTCCGGGTATGTTACAATTTGAAAGACGAAATCATAAATTATAATTTAATCATAAAAAATAAAATAAATTTAATTCAATATAATCAAACCAAAAACACTGAAATTTGAAAAAGCGCCAAGTTCGCACATCACTGAGCAAAGTCACAAAATCATTTTCAGTGTCTGATGATGAATTTCCCCCACGAATCATTATCACTCAATTCTGCAAGTGGTTCTGATTTACTATCGCTGTTCTCTAGCCGGTCTAAAAACGAAAGGGACGCTTTTTGGCCATGGACGCTTCTCAGTTTCCAGGCAGAAAGAACAGTAAAAATGCAGGCAGGGCGCCGGACAAAGCACTCGGGACAAAATGTATGTGAAACGGTTTGATACAGGAATGCTTTAATGTGATTTTAGTGTATTTAGTAAATGTCACTTTGTCATTTTCAAATTTCCCGCCGCTCCATCCCCCGTACGTCCCGACATTCGCAGGGGATGGAACCCAGATGACAGATGCCGGCATCAGCTGGAGGACATTGCCGGGGACACTGCAGGGGGGTCATCGTGGGAGCGCAGGACAAGGTAAGAGAACAGATCCCGGAGCCGCGCCGCAAGATATTCCGGAGTGTAACTCGGGGGTTACCGCTTGTGGTACTGAAATTTTACCCCGAGCTACACTCGGGAATACCGCCAGGTATAAACAACCCAGGAGCCCACTTTTTTTTTAATTTTTGGAGTTAACAACCACTTCAACAGGCATAATTATAGAGAATTGAATTCTGCATGCCTAGCATTATCAGGAGTAGGGAAGCGTGTTAAAATGATCATGTGTTAGTGGGGGCTGAAGCTGAACGGGTTCAAGCAGCCTCCAATTTTCTTGATCAGTAAAAGGGAAAGCCCTTATATGCAGGATTTTATCAAAGCAGACATTTAAATAACACTGACAAGGCACAGATCAGGAGGCTGGCTTCCCTTTGTTTGGCCTTACATAGCTCATTAATCTAAAGTCTAGTTTCTTCTTGTGAAGAGATTTGATCAGCTATCCAATATTTTGGAATTCATTTGCCATTGTTAATATGAAATGAAGTATATTTTAGACCAGGGGTGGGCAAACTTTTTGACTTGAGGGCCGCAATGGGTTCATATATTGGACCCGGGGGCCGGACCAAGAGTAGATGAATGATGTGTATGTGTCATCCATAGTAAGTATAGTAATATTCCCATAGCAATTCATCCCCCCCTATAGCAATTAAGTCCCCCCTATAGCAATTAAGTCCCCCCTATAGCTATTAAGTCCCCCCCTATAGCTATTAAGTCCCCCCTATAGCTATTAAGTCCCCCCTATAGCAATTAAGTCCCCCCTATAGCATATTAAGTCCCCCCTGTGTCAATTCACTTACCTTTGCTCCGCGCGTTCCTCTCGCCGTGTTCCCGCGCCGTTCCGGTGTAGCATGAAAATCTGTCTCCTATGAGGATCTGTCCCCCTCGACGTATCTGCGCATGTGCCAGTTTCAGGCATTAGCCGATCGTCGATCTCCGGCACATGCGCAGATACGTCGAGGGGGACAGATCCTCATAGGAGACAGATTTTCACGCTCAGGACGGACACCGGAGCCTTCAGGGCGGGCCGTAGCTGTAGTTTGCCCATTGCTGTTTTAGACAGTGACATGTTTTGATTGGTGCATGGGAACAAAGTCATTTAAATTTTGTTCAAAAGATTCCTGGTATTCTATAAAGCAGAGGTCTCCAAACTTTTCAAACAAAGGGCCAGTTTACTGTCCTTCAGACTTTCAGGGGGCCGGATTGTGGCCAGCAGGAGTAGTGGCCCTGACCCAGCATCAATAAGAATAAACATTACCTTAGGGTTGGTGGTCAGTAGGAGGAGTAATGCCCAATCATTGGTATCAGTTAAAGATCTAGTGCCACATTGTTGGAGCCAGTGGGAGGAATACTGCCCAATTGTTGGTTTCAGTGGGAGGAATACTGTTGCATCATTAGTAGGAGGAATAGTGTCCCATCATGTGTTGGTGGCAGGAATTATTCCCTACTGTTGATGGAAGAATAGTCCCCAAGGGCCGTATAAATGCAAACAAAGGGCCGCATCTGGCCCTCAAGCCATAGTTTGGACACCACTGCTATAAAGGCTTTTTAAACTCAAACAAAAATTTTATATTGAAGCTTACAAGTGTTAAGGATGCAACCAATTCAGTTCTTTCAGGCCAAGTATATATTCTCCAACAGAAAAATGCTTATGATATAAAATCCAGTATCCTTGTACCTGCTGTGTACTGAGGTGAGAAACCATGTTATCAGCTATCCCAGCTATCTTCTGTGTGGGAGAAAAAAAAAAAAAAAAAAAAAAAAAAAAAAAGCACTGACACTAATGGCACTGGGCAGGAGAAGGTTAACACGAGGGGCGATCAAAGGGTTTTACTGGGGCTGTAGGTGCGCTTCACTGCAAGTACACTGCTTTACATGACTGCACAGCCATCCAAAGCAGTCTGTAAACAAAACAGTTCTTCCTGTAAGCTCGTACGAACAGTCCTCCCCGGAAATGCTCACCAATCACCAGCCGGGACCTGGTGAATTGACAGCCGTGAGTGAGTAGGGCTCACGCGTGCCCTCTACCCGGAGATGCAAAATCACGTGTACACAGGCTGCCCTGTAGCAGTATATCTGCTATAGGGTGGTCAGGAAGTAGTTAACATACAAATTTTTAAATTCCTGAACAAAGTCCCAGTCACTGTTAGGAATTGGTTGAAGATTTCCACCTGTTCCTTTGATTTCTCATCACTGGTTGAAAACATTGATTTCACTCCACTGATTAGAAATGCAAATTTATGTTCTTAAAACAAAATTTCAAATGTAATTTTACCAGTGTATGGCCAGCTTTAGCCTCCAACACCGTTAGGAGCTGAGTGCATTTCTGCCAGATCACAGGTTTTGCCCTGTCATACTTTAAATCTGAACTGAATCCTGCCCATTTTAGACCCTAATGCAGGCCATAGATTAGAGATTTTTATGCCGAATTATCGGCCGATTTAAAAAAAAAAAAAAAAAGCAGATATTCGTAACCATTAGTGAGGAAAAAGGTCGGCCGTTTAAGAGATTTTGAAAAATCGGCCAAGCTGGAAAATCCTGGGACAATGTTAGATCAGCCGATTTTCGCGGTAATTTATGGTCAAATCTGCCGTTCTTCTGGCCGATTTAACAATAAATTGACTATGAAGAATAGAAGAAAGATATTACAGGAGAAGAAATAGAAATCAAGAAGAATAGAAGAAAAGAGGAGAAGATGAAATAGATTTTGTAGAAGAAAAGAGAAGATGAAATAGATTTTGTAGAAGAAAAGAGAAGATGAAATAGATTTTGCAGAAGACGAAGAAAAAACATTGCAACATTGTATCTATTTGTATGCATTTTGGATACAGATGTTTCTATTCAAGTACAAATAGATACAATGTTGTTTCTCTTCTGCATAATCTATTTCTTCTGTCAAATATAATAGCGGATCTCTATGCAGGGACACCGCTATTATATTAATTGATGGCCGCAGACGGGACTAAAACCCACCGACTTTTTTCAATTAGTGGCAACGTTGGCCGTCTGAATGACCAATTTACAATATTAACCATTAGCCACCCGGCCAATGGCCGTTTGGCGGCTTCAGATGCGCTCCTCCATTCCGGGTGCACGCCATTTGGCGTGCTCCCACACATGCGCCGTTTGCGCTAGTGCAGAGCGGCGCAGCAGTGTGATCTGTTGGCGGCCGTGCACCTCGGACACGGCCGATGACAGATCCGAGTACCGGCTCCCGTTGCTGGTACCATGTGACCTGCTGTGACCAATCACAGCAGGTCACATGACAGTTGTATACATGGATGGCTTCATTCATGATGCCATCCATTGTATACTAGTGCCTAGCTGTGAATGGTCACAGCTAATCACATGCACATGTCATGTGATTAGCTGTGACCAAATCACAGCTAAGCAAAAAAAAAAAAAAAAAAAAGCTGAATGAATCGATTTCATTCAGGTAAATGCTTGCTTATAGCAAAGTAATTCTTTGCTATAAGCAAATTGTGTAAAAAAAAAAAAAAAATACTGATCACCTCCCCAAAATGAAAAAAAATCTTAAAGTAATAAAAGAATATAATAAAAAAAAATATATATATATTTTTTTTCATACTGTCACCAGTCAGTGTCCCTGATCACCGCCATGCCAGTTATATGATGACGCTGTACTGCACTGGTGACAGTATGTAAAAAAAAAAAAAATAGTGAAAATAATTTCTCATTTTCGGAAAAATTATGACAAAAAAAATACAACTTCAAAAAACTCGCCATGCCTCTTATGAAGTACGTCGGACTGTCTACTCTGCAAAAAGGGGTCATTTGGGGGATCTGTACTATTCTGACATTCTTGGACCTCAAGAAATTAGATTGGCCGTCAGTACTTCAGGACTGATCAATATTCAGATCTATACCATAGTTTGTGAACTCTATAAATAAATAACTTTCCTACAAACTAAATAATACATCCTAATTTGGGTTTTTCACCAAAGACATGTAGCAGAATACATCTCGGCCTAAATTTATGAAGAACAATTATTTATTTGTAAACTTTTATAAGAAAAATGTGTTTTCAAAATTTTTGGTCTTTTTTTGTTAATTTAGCAAAATATAAAAACCCCAGCGGCGATTAAATACCACCAAAAGAAAGCTCTAGTTGTGTGAAGAAAATGATAAAATTTTAGTTTGGGTACAATGTTGTATGACCGCGCAATTGTCATTCAAAGTGTGAGAGCGCTGAAACCTGAAAAATGGCCTGGGCAGGAAGGTGTAAAATTGCCCGGTATTGAGATGGTTAAAAAAAAAAAAAACGATTTTTGCCCACTTCTATGGCCTGCATTAGCTTTATTTTCTCTCCCCCCCCCCCCCCCCCCCCCCAACCCAAACCACTCACTTTTTCATTTAATGATTCTCTTGGGAAGTTATCAGCTTTGTCATATAAAGCTGAATTAAACCCCATTTATTGCACTCCCACTGATTAGACGACATCCCTCTCAGTATTCCTTCTAGGTTTGGTCTGTTAGATTGCTTGAATAGTTGGACCATGTCACTCCCACGGGAGTCATGTCACACCACAGCAGAGCAGTGCCATAAAAGTATGCCAAGCTGCACATGTGTGGATTGGTGTATAGTACCACTGACAGACAGACATTTGAAAGGGGAATGTTGGGCTTATCCTTAATCCCTTTAACTGCCAGAGCCAAAAAAAAAGTTTAAAATAATTTTAGCCTGAAGATTACACGAAACCCCCAATCACTTTCTGTAAGCAGAGCTCCTAGAAAATAAAATGTTAGTAGTTTAAATTTATTACCACAAAGGTCTGAAACGCAGCATTTCAGTAAAAGATGCTTAAACTTTATGGCACAAAAGAGGAATAAAATTACCCAATTTTTTTTTGGTAAACTAAAAGATGAGGTTGCACCAAGTAAATGGATATCCAACATGTCAATTAAATTTGCGTCTGCTCATGAAAGGGTGACAGACTTGAGTACCCTAGATTTTCTATAGGTGACACTAAGCCCCTTACAGGTCATTAATTTAGCATTCTGGAGGAGGTCTGGTGCTAGAATTATTGCCATCACTCAGGTGTGCGCAGCGATATGCAACATGTGTATCACAATTGACGTTCTAACACGTAGTAGGCCCAGCACGTGCTTTTACATTCATATATATGAGGGTGGGGGGGGCCTCAATGTTTCAGGGAGTCGTCCCTGGGTGTAACTAACCACTTGCCGACCCGCCGCAGTGTTTTTACTGCGGCAGGGCGGCACCTGTGCGCGCAGCGCAGTCTTAACGTCGCTGTGCAAAACAGGTAGTGGGCGGGCGAGGCGTGTGCCCGCCCTACCCATCCCACCGATCGTGGCAGCGGGTGTCAGTCAACGGCTCCCGGCGGGTCATTTCCCATCAGGTGTCAGCGATTACAAGTAATCGCTGACCGATAGCAGAGCTGCGATGTAAACAATGCAGCTGTGCTGTCAGTTCAGAGCACGCTGAACCTGAGAGAAGACTCTCTCGGGATCAGCGTGTTCCTGTGAAGTACACACCCCCCCGCCCCCAAGTAAAAACACCCCTCACAGTTACCCTCTACCTAATAAAAGTTAAACCTCTTCCTCCCCAGTGCCATTAGTACAGTGTCAGTTTTTTTTTGCACTGATCACTGTAGTGGTGTCACTCCGGACACAGTGAAACACCGATCGTCGGACGGGACCTCTGTACGAGGTCCCGATCATGTGATCACTGATTGGCCAATCAGTGATCACATGCAAAGTAGTAAGCAAGATGTCACTTGTGACATCATTGCTTACTACGTGTGAAATCTGTGAATGATCACAGAGGTCACATGGTACAAGGCTATTCACAGCAGCCTTGTACCATGTGACAAGCTGTGACCAATCACAGCTCACTCAGTATTTCTCAATGACTGCAAGAATGCAGACAGAGAAATGATTGCTTTTACATGGGTGTAAAAGCAATCCGTGTAAAAAAAAAAAAAAATCTTCATCACCCCACAAGTAGTACAGTGTCACCATGGTGACACTGTACTGCTAGGGTGACGGTATGTAAAAAAAAAATAAAAAAAATAAAATAAAAATGTACAAAAAATGGTTTAAAAATTATAATTTGGTTATAAACTAATTTGGATTTTTTTACTAAAAAAAAAAAGAGAATAAATTTTGGCCAAGATTTATGAAGAAATATTTATTTGCAAAATTTTAAGAAAAAAAAAAACTTTTCAAAATTTTTGGACTTTCATTTACATAGTAAAAAAAATTAAAAATCCCAGCGGTGAATAAATACCACCAAAATAAAGCTTTATCTGTCTCAAAAAAAAATGGTAAAAAATTCATATGGGTACAGTGTTGCATGACCGCGCAATTGTCATTCAAAGTGTGATCGCGCTAAAAGCTGAAAATTGCCCTGGACAGGAAGTGGTTAAGTGACAATTTTGTGTGTAAAAAAAAAAAACCAAAAAAAAAAAAACACCCTTTAGCACCTCAAGAAATGTGATAAGCAGTCAAAGCAAAAGCTGTGGAAATTCTGATATATACAGTATCACAGAAGTGAGTACAACCCCTCACATTTTTGTAAATATTATATCTTCATGTGACAACTCTGTAGAAATTACACTTTGCTACAATGTAATGTAGACAGCTTATATAACAGTATAAACTTGCTATCTCTTCAAAATAACAGCCATTAATGTCTAAACTGCTGGTAACAAAAGTACACCGCTAAGTGGAAATGTCCAAATTGGGCCCAAATAGCCATTTTCCCTCCCCGGTGTCATGTGACTCATTAGCGTTACAAGGCCTCAGATGTGAATAGGTAACAGGTATGTTAAATTTGGTGTTATCGCTCTACTCTTACTGGTCACTGGAAGTTCAATATGGCACCTCATGGCAAAGAACTCAGGATCTGAAAAAAAAAAAAAAAAAATTGTTGCTCTACAAAAAAGATGGCCTAGGTGATACTGCCAAGACCCTGAAAACTGAGCTGCAGAATGGTGGCCAAGACCATACAGTGCTTTAACAGGACAAGTTCTACTCAGAACAGACCTCGCCATAGTCGACCAAAGAAGATGACTGCACATGCTCAGCGTCATATCCAGAGGTTGTCTTTGGGAAATCGATCTATGAGTGCTGCCGGCATTGCTGCAGAAATTGAAGGGGTGGGGGGTAGGAGGGTCAGCCTATCAGTGCTCAGACTATATGCCTCACATGTCCTGTGGTCTGATGAGACCAAGATAAACTTATTTGGTTAAGATGGCGTCAAGCGTGTGTGGCGGCAACCAGGTGAGGAGTACAAAGACAAGTGTCTTGCCTACAGTCAAGCATGGTGGTGGGAGTGTCATGGTCTGGGGCTGCATGAGTGCTGCCGGCACTGGGGGGGGCTACAGTTCATTGAGGGAACCATGAATTCCAACATGTACTGTGACATACTGAAGCAGAGCATGATCCCCTCTCTTCTGAGACTGGGCCGCAGGGCAATATTCCAACATAATGACCCCAAACACCTCCAAGACGACCACTAACTTGATAAAGAAGCTGAAGGTAAAGGTGATGGACTGGCCAAGCATGTCTCCAGACCTGAACCCTATTGAGCATCTGAGGCATCTTCAAAAAACGGAAGGTGGAGGAGGGCAAGGTATCCAACATCCACCAGCTCTGTGATGTCGTCATGGGGGAGTGGAAGAGGACTTCAGTGGCAACCTGTGAAGCTCTGGTGACCTCCATGCCCAACAGGGTTAAGGCAGTGCTGGAAAATAATGGTGGCCACACAATATTGACACTTTGGGCCCACTTTGAACATTTTCACTTAGAGGGGGACGGACTCACTTTTGTTGCCAGCGGTTTTGACATTAATAGCGGTGTTATTTTGAGGGGACAGAAAATGTACATGTTATACAAGCTGTACACCAACTACTTTACATTGTAGCAAAGTGTCATTCCTTCAGTGTTGTCACAAGGATAAAATATTTACAAAAAATGTGAAGTGTACCCACGTCTGAGAGCTACTGTACACACCATAGTTTGTAGATGCTATAACTCACACAAACCAATATACATGTATTGGGATTTTTTACCAAAGACATTTAGCAGAATACATTCTGCTAGTTACCAAAAGTGAAAAATTGTTTTCACTTTGTTTATAGGTCAAAAAGTAAACCAGAGGTGATCAAATGCCACCAAAAGAAAGCTATTTGGGTGCAAAAAAAGAACAAATTTAGTTTGGGTACATCATTGCACAATCACGCAATTACTGGTTGAAAGTGCAGTACCGAACAGCATAATAAAATGGCCTGGTCATGAAGGGGGCTAAATTTTCTAGAGAGCAAGTGGTTAAAATATATATATATATATATATATATATACATATATATATATAACATATACATATACACATACATACACACACTCACCCATGTCATGCTTTTTGTTAACAAATCATATTTGAAGATCCCCGCCCCAAGCATTTATAGCCATCTTGAGTAAGGGAAGAGATTTACTTCCTAGAATCTGTCTACCCTTAGTTCAGACATGCAGGCAGGAGGGCGTTTAGCTGAGAAAGACCCTCCAAAAGAAAAACTATTCATGAAGATTCCTGGGATGTAGGACATTTGGCCTAGGCCAGAAAGTGAAATGTAGAGGGAAAAACAAACCGCTTCTGATCTGCTAAAGCTTGTCGCACAAGTAAAATAAAAAAAATTCACTTCTGAAACAAATGCACTTTTGCCAGTAAAAAAAGTGTATTCTCTAAGGAGCCTGCAGAGTATTGCTCCTGCAATCAGCAGACCGGTGCATGTCAGGCTCCTGCAGACTCAGTAAAACAAAACCGCTGTCTGCATCTACCGCTCATATGGGCAGTTACTGAAGTCCAGGAAGAATCAATGAACTACAAGAGCACCCAACACCCTCACAGCTCATTGAAAACTAGAAGCTGTCTGCAGCACGCAGAGGCAGATGGCACTTTAGTCAATTCATTCACATCTCTGAATGAGGTGGCTCTGGATGGAGCCCCACACAGACATGCAGTTTAAAATTGTGGGATGTTCCCCTGCCTGCTGTCACAGGGCGATAGGGAGGTGCTTTAGCAACATGTTAAACCCTGGATATGGGTGTAACATGGTACTAGAGGTGGACTTATCCTTAAAGGGGAGTTTCAGTCTCACTGTAAAAAAAATAAGTCAGCAGCTACAAATATTAGCGGCTGAAAGAAAAAAAAAAAAAAAAAAGCCACTCACCTATCCCACAATCCAGCAGTGTCCTCCCCAAAGCCTGTTTCACCAGCCATCTGGTGTTCCAGGCACCGGCATCTTCAGTGTTGCACCCACTGCACATGCGCAAGTAGCACTGCGATTCCTGAATAGTCCCATAGTCTTCTGGGACCCGTCATGTGTCCCAGAAGACTACGGGGAGGGAGGACAACTTCTGCTCACCGTGGAAGTGGGAGCGGGTACCTGTCAATTTCAGGTACCTGCTCCTCACAACGGAAAACCAACACACCCGGAAAACCCCCCCACACACGAAAACCAACACACACAAACCAGACACAACAACCAAAACACACAACCCAAAACACAACAACCCAAAACCAGACACACAAACCCAAAACCAGACACACAACCCAAAACCAGACACACAACCCAAAACCAACACACAACCCAAAACCAGACACACAACCCAAAACCAGACACACAACCCAAAACAGACACACAACCCAAAACCAGACACAAACCCAAAACCCAACACACAACCAAAAACCAGACACACAACCCAAAACCAGACACACAACCCAAAACCAGAAACACAACCCAAAAACAGACACACAACCCAAAACCAACACACAACCCAAAACCAACAAAAAAAAAAACCAAGACACAAACCCAAAACCAAACACAAACAACCCAAAAACCAGACACACAACCCAAAACCAGACACACACAACCCAAAACCAGACACACAACCCAAAACCAGACACACAACCCAAAACCATAACCGTCTTGCTACTACCATAACCTAAGAACCCCCCCCCATATAAATTTCTCCTGCTCCTTACAATTGCAGCCATACCATGTGTGTGAGTAGTTTGTACCCATAGTACAGCCCAAAATAGTGTGTAATTTGCTTTTATCCTGCCACTGACCCAAGAAAGTACCTGACGCTTGACCCAAACACTAAACCGGCACAGACCTTGATCTAGGTATTATTTTAAAACAATTAATTTCTGCAAGGACAGAGATACAATGTATCCATTCAGGGAGGAAAAAAGGGGTGGGGTTCACAGTGTGATCACTGCGGTAGCCAGAGGCCATCAAAGCGATCAGGTGACCTGGAAATCGGGAGTTCCAGGTCCCGATTGTTAGACTGGGACCCAGGGCTCTCAGTGACACCCTTGTCTTGCTGGGAGTGCGTTGTGCTGAGCGCTTCCAGTGAAAGACAGGTATGCAAATTAGCAGCCCCATGGAATAAAAGCCACTTCTGTGAGGCCACCAATTTGCGTGCAGTCCGCGTCACACTGTGTGTTGGTCACCATATTGAATTCACTTGAATAGGCTGAAAATTGCAAACAAAAGTAGCGCAGACTTTTAAAAACCACTGGACCAGATTACAGGATACTGAGGTACTATGCAATCTGCGTTCGGAGTGTAATGCACTGTACACACTATACAAAAATCGGCAAACGACCGTCCGGTTATCATCGATCGCTCGCTGCTGGTCGAAAGCAATGTGCTTTTTACGCATGAGAATATTGTACGCTATAAAGGCATTTCATACGACTGTCGAAGCGTAGCTGCGGAAAGGATATAATGTACATGTGACCCTGTAGCCACGCCTTTCAGTGCCATATTGGTTTTCCCACAGCAAGGGATTGTTCGTGACAAATTTTTGGACCAGTATGGTTA